CCCCGCCAGCCCCGCCGGTCCCGCCAGCCCCGCCCACGCAACAACCCTTCCTCCATCCCCGCAGAGGCGAGAGGGGCTTAAAGCGAAGAGCAAGGGCCAGGAGGACGGCCGCCGGAGCTGCTGCTACTGCTCGTACAGTCAGTCTCAGGAGTTTGTCCGTGAGGGGAGCGTGGGACTCGGAGCACTCGGCGCACACCGCGCTGACAACAAGTTTTGCCTGCGACTTACTGCATTGTTATCGAAGGGCGGCGAGGGCCGAGGCCCCTTGCCCTGCTCTCTCTGCACGACTGACATCACCTAGTAAGGGATCGTTCAAAAGGAACGCCGTGAATCCATTTTTGGCAAATTTTACGGGGGCTCAGCGCCTGTGAAGCTCGGGGTAGGCCACCCCGCAGTACACGCATGCACTGGAGGCTAGATGTTGCCTACCCATCGGGCGCTATGAGAGGAGAGCTCGCAGAGATTGATCTTGGCAGGGGGCGAAGTGACGGCCGTACTATCTGGATGACCCCTAATACCCCGCACGCCGTCTCCACACTCAATGCAGTGACTCTGGCGTTTAGAAACGGCAGTTTTCTTCGTATTGTGTGGCCTGGACGGGCCGGCGGTGACGCCTCCTGCTCAGTGGAGCGCACTACATGGTGCTGCCGACCGGCTCGCTCTGGTTACAAGCACTTCGTGTCGACTTGGAATTGACCGAAAGGCAAGAATGGGCTGTCGAAAATCTACAACATTTGTTGTAAATAAATATTACAACAAACATTGCCTAACTGACGGGGATATTTTTCTCAGTGGTGTGGTATGTGTGTGCATACAGCGCGGAATGGCGGTGCCGGCGCAGTGTGGTCGAGCTGCTGCTTCCGCTGCTAGTGGTACAGCTGGCCCTGTCTTTGTGGAGTCAGAGTTCCTTACAGCCGCAGCCGCCCCCACCATGCCAGCCGCGGGGTGAAAAACTTCTGCCTGCCTGAGTCGGATAATTACGTGTTGCGAGAAAGAAAAGGAACCCTCCCCCTCCCTCACGTGCGTGTCGCTGCCTCGCCGACGTCCTGTGCTGCGCTTCTTTCCCTTAAAAAAAAAAAAACACACTAACACAAAAAAGACACTTGTCAGTGGGAAAACATGTTTGCGTTTCGCTCTGTATTTCTAGTTAAACTCTAGAAAATTTGTAACGGGTGTATCAGAGCGAGCACCCCAGTGCTGCGCTGTTGCGGGTTTGCCTACTCCCTCCGCCTCCAAGGCGCCAAAGGAGAAGAAAACTCCTCAGATTGTGTGGGAGTTTCCCTCATTTGTTGAGAAGACTTCCTCAAAATCTGAGGAGTTTTTATCAAACTGTAGGAGCTCCTCAAAGTTTATTTTCCTTTTCTCCCACAAAAATGAGACATTGTTTTCAGCGTGCACAGTCGAATCGAATTAAACAAAGTGCTGGTCCCGAAGGCAGGTGCGGTTACAATTCTTTCGTCGCCGCCCGAGAAGTCCCGCCGCAGGGTGGATTTTGTTCTCCTTCCTCACGACTGATTCGATATGAAGAAGACGCGATCGGGGGGAGGGGGGGGCGAGTGTGTTTGCCAAGGCGGGCTGCGGTAACAACCGGGAAAGGAACTTTGGTCGTGAGCAGACACATGCGACAACTTTGGAGAGTGGCGGGGTGTGGTAGTGGGACATCACCACCCACCACGAGGGGTTTACCTCACCTACAACATACAGTTGTAAGCTCTCTTGTACAATCATATTGTTTTCAGGACCAAGAGACTTATTCACACAGTAACTGCTCATTATATTTCCATAGAGTTTACGAATTTTAAACTCCAATCGCCAAGTATAAGCTCGTTCGAGTAGTGTACGAGTGAGAGGGGCGGACCCTCCCTCGCACCACCACCACCGCGGGCCCGGGCCGGCCGGGGTCAAGAACTATTTCGGGTATCGCTTTACAGTGGGGGGCATTGTGTCAACCTACACGGCCACACCTGCCCCAGCTGCGGCAGCTGCCGCGTGACCCACAGTCGCCGCCCGTGGGAAATAAATCACAAGTCCGCCGCCCCCGGCCCCCTGACCCTCCCTGGCGAGAGATGGCGCCCAGTGCCGGCGAGAAATAGAGGGGAGAAGGGAGGGAAGGGGGGGGGGACAGGCTTCCCACTTCGCTCATCTTAGCTCACCGCTCGCCTCAGCCGGGCGGAACATGCCTCCCGCTGTCACCTTTTTGTTCCGATTTATTTTTCATCTTCTGCGCCGGCGGTCGTTGTTTGCGCTCCCCCTTTGAGAGGCGGAGCTGCGGCGGTGCGGAGCTGTCTGGCGATGTCTGATTGTGCGGGACACGGCGAGAGAGGAGGGCGCTAATCGGCTGAACTGCCGCGGGGCGCCGCGAGGTGGGGGAGGGTGTAAGTGACCCCACCTCCCTCGCCGCCGGGCCCCGGGGCGATGACAGGCTTACAGGGCATCCCCTAACAACCGCAGCCCGCTTCCTGCCCCCCCCCCGCCGCAGCCGCCACGCCCGCCTCCCCTCCCGTCCCGTCCCGCTCGTCCGCGTCTGTCGAAGTATCGACAGGACAGCGTTTCCCTCTCTCTATTTAGAGTGCTTGTTTGCTCTTCACTAACCAGCTCGTCTCTCTCCCTCTCTCCCGCAGGAGATCCGCGAGCTGCTGGTGGACTTCCCCGTGCTGTCGGTGCAGCTGCAGTGCGGCTCGGGCACGGGCGCCGGCGTGGCGCGCGCCGCGCTCGAGGACCCCGAGATGCTGGAGGAGTGGGACCGCGACCGCCTGTTCCTGCTGCGCGGGCAGCGCGTGCCCGTGGCGCCCACCCCCACCGACATGCTGCTGTGCGTGGCGCGCCTGCCGCTCCACTACAGCGAGTCGCAGTTCACCGGGCTGGTGCGCTCGTACGGCGAGGTGCGCCGCTGCTTCCTCATGATCTCCGAGAAGACAGGTGAGAGAGAGAGAACAACAACAACACGCAGCCCAGGGCGCCGCCGCCACGGCTCTTCTGGCTCCTGCTCTTCTCGGCCAGCCCTGTGCTCGCATCGCTGACCGCTTGACCTTTTGCCCCGCAGGCGAGAGTAAGGGGTACGGCTTTGTGGAGTACATGAGCAAGGAGACGGCGCTGCACGCCAAGAACATGCTGGACCGCAAGGCGGTCGACGACCTGGTGCTCTGCTGCGACTGGCTCGACTCGAGTCACGTGACGTTCGAATCCCTGCACTCCAAGTGCCTGTTCGTGGACCACCTGCCCAAGGACTTCCGGGATATGGGTCAGTTCCGGAAGGTGTTCAGCGCCATCGTCAGCCCGCCCTACTGCCAGGTGAGAGAGGCCACGCCCCTTCTTCCCCCGGGCGCTACCCGCCCGCCCGCGGCACCTCGCCGGGTGAAGTAACAAATGTGGCCCTGTCGTGAACAAGACCGTTCTCATCCCCTCGCGCTCCCTCTCTGCAGATTGCCCTGAAAAATGGCTGCCCTCAAGACTGGGGCCTGGTGGAGTACAGCTCTGCAGAGGACGCGGAGGCGGCCCAGTCGTCACTCAACCGCTACATCCTGAGCGGCCACCCCATCCGGGTGTCGTACTACATGCCGGGCGTACGCGCCATCAACCTGTACCTCAAGCTGCTCAACGAGTCGGTGCGTATAAGGGCTCGCCGCGCCCCTCTCGGCTCGGCTCGGCCCGCTTAAGTGTTTTCGATAACTGTCCTCATGCTGCCGGTCCCGACCCATCGGTTCGGGCGTTCGGCCGGCCAGCACTGCTGGCTCAAGTGCTCCGGCTCCTAACAAACTTGTGTGTGCTCCTATCCCACAGAACAACAAGAAGAGCTGCGGGCTGCTGCCGGATCCCACCGCTCCCGCCGTCTTCCAGCAACTCCAAACTCTGGCCAAGCAGAACCCTGTCTGTACGTATCTTCACCACCAGCGTGGCCAGAGGTCTCTGTCTCGCAGGCCACCCTAGGCCCAGCCCAGCCCCCGCTTCCCGCTTCCCTCTCATCTCTCCCTCCCCCCCTCCCCTCCCGTGGGAAGGTGCACGATCTAGGCGGCTGCGTCTGACACCTGACACATTCGAGCGGGCCCTCTTTGAAAGAGTCTCTCTCTCTTTCTCTCTTGATCTCTGCATCTCTCTCTCCCTCTCCCTTTTCCTCTCACCCTCCCTTTCCATTCACCGTCCAAGTCAACGCTGCCAAGCCCGCACGCCTCACCCTCTTTATTTTGTCTTTATTTTCGTTTTCCTATCGATTGGCTGGATGTAATAAAAAAAGGAAGGAAAACACGTTGGAGCCGCTGTGTGATTTAGTCCAACTCTGCCATTCCCCGGTTTCACTCATCGCGAAAAGTTTTGTACGCGCTGGAGTGGCCTGACCTCGCCCCCTCGACCTGTTCCAGTTGCGCAGAACCTCCAGAATATCATCATGACCCAGATCCAAAGCCTCCAATCGGACGGGAAGCAGCGCTCGCCTACCCCTCCGGGTGGCCCCGCGGGCGGACAGCCTAACGCGAACAAGGGCAAGCCCGTGGCCACGCCCCCCAACGGGCTCATCGACAACCAGGTAAGCCGCGGAGTCTCTTGGGATCGACTGTCCGAGCGACTGCCTCCCCCAAACTGGTCACTTACAGGCGCTCTCTTCACCTCGACAGATGCAGCAACTCAAGAACCAGCTGACCAGCACGCACCCCATGCTCATGGCGAACCCTCAGATGCTGGCATCGCTGCAGTCGCTGCTCAAGCAGCAACAGGCGCAGAACCCTGGCGGCCCCGGCTCGCAGGGAGGGCAGGGCGCTGCGCAGGGGCAGCAGGGCCCCCAGGGCCCCGGAGCGGGCGTCAACGGGCAAGGCCAGGGCCCCAAGGGGGCAGAGGCACAGCACAACGGCTTCGGCAAGCACGGCAAGAACGGCTTCCTGAAGCCACCGCAGCCGACCAACAAGGTAAGTCTCGTCCTCGGGGTAACTCCCTGGGGTGAAGGTGAAGGTGCGAAGCAGCGACTTTGACCCTCCCCCTGTCGACAGGTGCCGCTGTTGCCCAACCCGAGCGGACACGGGCTGAGCTCGCCACCGCTCGCGCCGCTCGCGCCGCTGCCCGGGCAGCAGCACGGCCAGCACGGCCAGCCGCCGGTGAGCGCGCCCGTGAGCGTGGCGCTGTCCCCCACGCCCACCGACGTGACGGCCTGGGGCGGCATGATGGGGCTAGCGCGCCACCACACGTCCTCGCCGCCGTCCGGCCCTGCGCATGGCCCCGGCGCGGCGGCCGGCGGGCTGTCCCTGCTCATGGCCGGCCTGGACGGCGCCGGCGGCCTGGCCTTCCCCCCGCCCTCCGACCCGCTGCAGATGGGGGGTGGGCCCGGCGACCTGCAGACCACCATCAACAGCATCCTCAACAACCAGCAGAACCTGCGCCAGCTCATGGCCACCCTCTCGAGCGCCATCCAGAGCAACGGCTCTCACCCGCAGCCCGCGCCACCGCCGCCGGGCAACCACTTCCCGTTCGTCGGCCGGCCGCCCCCCGGGCCCGGCAGCGGCGCGGAGGCGGCCTGGGCCTCCTCGCGCTCCCTCATGAGCAGCCCCCTCCAGATGCAGCCCAAGCCGATGGGATTCTTGGACATCAAGACTCCCAACCCCGGCGCGCCCCTGTTCGCACAAGTGCCGGGCGCGGGGCAGTGGCCGGGCAGTGGCTTCATGCCCTCGCCCGTCGGCGTCGGGCCCATGTTCTCACCGTATTCTGGCGGCCTCGTGCCTGGGCTGTGGTCGCCGTCGCCCTCCCCGTCACCGACGCTCAATGGCATGATGACCCCCGTGGGCCACAAGCGCAAGTACAACCACATCCTGCCGTCACCCGAGCCCTCGCCCGAGGGCAACTACATTGGTCAGCACTCGCAGGGCCTGGGCGGCCACTATGCCGATTCCTACTTCAAGCGGAAGAAGAAGAACTAAGGCCTCAAACTGCACCAAAGCATTCCTGAGTGGAGGATTCGTTACATATCGCCCAGCCCTTCTGGTCTGTCAATCGGTGAGGGGCTGTCTTATATCACCTTAGATTCTATCTGCATCTGTTGCTTGTAGCTTTAATTTATATCAAGACATTTTTCCTCCACAATTTTTAGAATATTCCAAGAGAAAGGTGTTTAGAATTTTACTTCAGCCTGTATGCTTGAAAGACTACCAATCGTTGTACCATTTTATGGCAATGTATGAGCGCAGTTTCTTGTGATTGGTTTCTTTTTTAAATTATTATTTTCTACAGTAAGCCAATCATGACAGCTGGTTGTTTACATTGTTGTAAAATTGTGACCAAACATGTTAGAATCGTTATGTTAGCTTAATTTTAACAAATTCTTGTTAGGTAGGGTGCTATTAACATGGACCAACAATCCACTATGAATTTATTTACTTAGTACCATCTGGTACCTACAGCATAAGAGAATTTTATGCTCCTAAGATCTCCTAAACGTATATGAATGTGTCTTCCTACTGTGGAAGTTTATGATCATGGTTTAGAGTCAGAGTTACTATGTCATTAAACAAGCTCACATGAGCCATACCATGGCTGGTTATTACATCACATGTTATCAATAATTAAAGTTTTATCTGTAGATAAGATTCTTGCTATTTTACTGTTTTAAGAACTATTGTGATTTTTTAAGACTATTGTTTGATTTTTTTATGACAATCACATGAATTTTTCTGTAGTTGTTTTGCTGGCAATGTTATCTTTATGCTAATTGAATCTTCTTGTACCTCTGTCGACCTATTAGATCTCTTGATCGTCCCTGTGAAGATAAAATCATTTTTCACTTTCTTGTCTTCTTTCTCAATTTGTTTTTGTGCTTTACGTTGTCATTCTTGATCTGTCCTGTGTGCTGTCTTGTTGTATTAATGTTTTTAGACTTTTTTTATCACCATCAATAGTTGACATAGATCATTTAATAGATATTTTTTTATATTAGGTCTTAATCATCTGTTCATGCATTATCATAGAGCTTATACTTATTGTCTCTTTTGTAAGTTTATGGAAAGTTCTTTGGTTTGTGAAATTTTCACAAGATCCCTTATCTTTAAATCTTCTCTTTCCGACTCTTTCTCTTGTGATTCTGAACTTGCTTTACTGTCTATCGTAGTGTAGTTTTTTATGTTGTGCACTTTCATCTTTAATTGTCTTGACATTGAAGGCAACCATGATTCGTTTCCCAAAGTTGTTGCTTTTTGTCTTTTGACTTGTACTACTCTGTACTATGAGTAGTGTAGTACCTCCAAATTAAGACCGCTATATGCCTTCAAACATATAGAAAACATACTTTTAATTTCATTTGTAACTGACGTATCGTGTTATGTTGTCATGCCTTTCAGGTGTGGGTGGGGTAGGGCAGGGTTGGGCAATCATCTTTTATTTTATTTCTCATTTCCCTCTCATTATTATTTTTTTTTTTTATAGATTTTCACTTACATTCGGTATCAATTGAGGAGTTTAAAAATCCACATATCTTGCATTACATAGGCAATTAGGTGAGTTTGTCAGAGGATTGCTGTCCTATGCAAATGTATTTTAAGATTGTGTTTGTGTGCCTGAGTTTGAAGATGTGATAATTATATTTTGCAGTATTTGTACCTTAAAATGGGACTGAGATTTATCCTGTGGGTAGGTATTGTGTTATATATTATGGGCCGTATGCCTAAAGCCCGAGTGATTTCAAATTTTGTCACAAGTATTATTTTGAATTAGAACTTTTTGTAATAAACCGTGGAATTTTAAAATATTTTTAAACTTTAGTATATCATTTCCACATGTGTTGTAATTTTTAATTTAGTTGTTTTCAATTTTGCCGTACTCTAAAGGCACCTATACCACCGCCATTATATTAATATAAACTCTTCCTTTCATGTTTAATTATGTTTTATTTTTCTTTGTCGTGTGGAGCTTTTTTAAGCTCTTAATTGAAACTGAGAAATATTGCTTGTCAATACTCATCGCCTTAATGTATCTCGCATCCTCAAAGTTCTTTCACTATCACCACACCAGTAGAGATCTATTTGCTACCCAAGTATTTTATTTTTTTTTGTATTTTTTGTAGTTGTGTGTTGGAATGTTTCATCAGTATTTCTTCTGTTCATGTTTCTGTCACTTCATTCACTCTGTTCTTTTGTGTATAGATTTCTTTCCCCTTCTCTCTCTTTTTTTTTTTTTTAAGTTGACTGTTAGTGCAGTCTATGAACTGAGTAAGATATCAGTAATCACTTTGCAAGTGATCCCTTACATTTAGTCTGTGTATTTCTTGTTCTCTGTCTGCTGCATCTGGCAGAAATAAAAGGCAACTTGACAACAGAACGTCTCCTTTTTTCAACAACATCAACAAAAAACTGATGCTAAGATGACCTTTGTCATCCCCTTCCTTCCTGCTTACTTATGAAAAATGCTTTTTGTGCTGCTTGTTCTTCTACCTCTGTGAGGTCTTACTTACCATTCTTTCTTGCCCACTTTCCCCACCCTTGACGAATGCTATCTGTTCCTTACCTTAGTTCCTTCTTTAATTCAAGATAATCCCCCAATATATCTTAGACGTGTTAATTTTGTGTGCAATAAAGCAATAGATGAAACCAGAAATGCTCTAGAAAAGCAAACATTGGCTGTGAATGAGTTGTTTTAAATTAATCAACAGAATAACTGTGATTTTCTTTTTCTTTTCTTGTAAAATTCACAAGGTAATTAAATTATATAGTTCATTGAATGTTATAATAATAACAAAACTATAATCCATACTCTTGATACATGAATTGTTTATTGAGATCATTTTTAAAAAAGAAAACAAAATGGAAATATTTCTAAATGATCCTTACTTTTAACTACTGACTTCATTTCCCATTTTCATTGACCAAGCTACATTTACAGGTAGGTGAAAAAACATCAAAAAAAAAAAGGAAAAGATATTTCACTTTACAACATAGGTGACTGTCCTTAATATGCCAGCAAGTACAGGGTGTGTTCAAATATTTTAGGGTCAGAACAAACTCATTACACAAAGCTCCTCCCTTTCATCATGTTTGTCCAATTCAGTTAAGAGCGGTGGCCACTATGGTTGGCACAAATAACAAGTTTCAACATTTTAAAAAACTTGCTCCACTGAGCAAAAATGACTGAGTACAAAATCTATTAACATCAGAATAAGACAGCTGTATCCAACAGCTCCATAAGCGCTCATAGACACTAGTTTAAGCTGTATTCTAGTTTTAATGCTATGGTTCACACTTTCCATCATGCAACCCAGAGATAAAATTATGAGTGCAACAAATTCTAGAGCTAAAAGCTAAACCTCAGCAATTTAGTCCAGGTCCAGTCAGAATGTGGTTGCATATCACCCAAAGTGTTGACTTCGAACTCAAATACAGCTTTGTTTGATGAGACAAATCATGTTGCATCTTTTTTTCCCAAACACACAATGGATTGACTTTTGGCACTAGCCAAATTATTCTTCAAGATAAGAAATACATTGCACCAGTATTTTTAAGCAAAAGCACAAGTCTCAATGCCCACAAATACAAAACAAAAGATTGGAAAATCAATGAGCAATGGAGGACAATGTTAGAAAGTCTTATACAGTAGGTATCACATCAGTTATATAGTAATAGTTTGTGCAGTCATTATTCAATACATTATCACATACTTGCATCACCCATTGGTAACTTAGGACCTGCGTTCTGATTACTTTGGCTTATAAAATGTTCAGAGGCTGCAATGTACAAGGCAACTGCCAAACCAATACCAAATGCAACCTTTTGATTGTTTTGAAATATAATGCAGGTTGCAATAGTGAGCCCACCATACACAGCATACCGTGCAAATACTACATGGCGATCTCGGGAATACTGTGCTTCATCTTGAAAAGGAAAAAAAAGGTTCAATAAGAATTAGAAAACCATCATGAAAAGACCATCCAAAATAAATAACAGCTCAACAATTTATATTTTTAAAAAGTTGCCCTCTTACCTACACACATCTGTTCATTCATAAAATAACCTTTTGAACAGGAAAAGCAATTGTCTGGTCCATCTCCATCACAGCCATTGCAAGCACGATCACAGTCTAAAGTAAAGTATTTATTGGATTAGATAATTGGCAGCTCTTACATCATTTGCAAAACTCTACATTTCTAAAAACTTCATTCATACTTACCCAAACACGAATAAGACCCATCATTATTAACACAAAATTGATTTGACCCACAAGGCCCATGGTCATCAATGGAACATTCATTCATATCCATACAACCATGTTCAGCATCCATTCTATAGCCAATTTTGCAGGCCAAGCAACCTGTAAATATTCATATGAGTTTTAAAATGGTGTTCCTAACCAAAATATTTTATAAAAAATATTCTAAAAATCAGCTTTACAAAAAAATATATAGTTATAAAAATACAGTCAACTACCTTTTGGACCAGCTTGAGTACAAGCCCCTTGGCATGACACATGACAAGGAGAGCAAAGAACATATTTGTCATCTTTATATGCCTGATAGTAACCATCTGCACAAGAATCACATAGGGACCCTGTATACCCACTATCACAAGCGCATGCCCCATTTCCTTTACGAGTGCCGTTACCCTAGAAAGAAAGAATATTTGAGTAAAATTACAGACTAGAAATTATAAGTACAGAGAAATAGCAGGCAAGAAACCTACCTTACACCTTCCGTTGCTACTGCAAACTCTGTCTGGGTACCCAGGGCAAGGTTTGCACTCAGGCCCATAGTGCTCACTAGGACAGCAGCTTTTAATAGACTCTATGCATAGGAAGTCATACAAATCTGTATCCTGTTGCTTGTTGAACCACCAGTCTTCAATAAATGGTTCTGCATCTTCAACTAGTTTATGACACTGGTAATACCAAAAGATGTTACAAAATTTTTAAGGAAGTGGATTTGAAGCTGGGAGTTAAAAAAGCACAATACTCACTTGATCTTCACCCTTTTCTAGATCGGTGCACAATTTTTCTTGGATTTCCACCAATCGAACTTCACTATTTCGGTAAGATTTCATCTTTTCTTCTTCCCAAGCAGCATCACCACCATCAAATTTATTGCGAGCTGTTCTTTCCATACCCTAGGTTTAAAATAATAAAAATTTAAATAAAAGATCGGATAATACACAAATTTTCATGAAGGGGTACTTTTAAATTCGTCTAGAATACCTTAGAAAATGATCCAACTAAGGCCTTACAAGCTTGACAAGGAGGAAGGACAGTGGACTTTGATATTTGTTTTTCCACATATTTGTCTGATACTTTCTGGCTAACTTTTTCAATGTCTACCTCCGCAGTGGTCAAGAGACATAGAAAAGAAACTACAAGGATAATATGTGCTTTTGTGTTCAGCATATCTTCTGTATGCTTAAAATAACTTTGGATGAAGAGTGATCTGAAAAATAAATTAAAGATTACTACTTAATCCTTACTTGTGCCCCAGAAAAGTATATAATGGTAGCAGGAGGTTTGTGAATATGTTGCCATGCAGAACACGAAGTTAAAGAATCTTACAAAAACAAGCCCAAAAACAACAATGGTCAAAGAAGCGCAGAAGTAAGAGAGATTCAAGATCTACAAAAATTGAACAATTTATTTTCTATAAATTTTAGAGATGGAGTGACTTTTCATTTATAAATATAAAGATGAACAGACCAACCGACAAGATTGACATAACCCTCTGAATTAGAGTGGAAAAAAAAGAGACTACAAATTACGAAACCAAAATAAATTTTAGTTTAAAATGTAGACTTCGTACCTGCTTAAAGGTGGACCGGAAAAAGTATGATTTGTAATGGGTAGTACTGGAAATTCAGCACTCTAGATGCTTCCACTTCTTCAAAAGCAACGTCGTGTCGTCTGCTGTGTTCTGCTGCTGTGCTGTGTTCCGGTCCGCCGGCTTTCATTGGTCCATTTGGACCAATCCGAGTCCACCATTTGTACCGGCGAATAGAGCAGACGTTCGACCTGTAAATAGTGGGACCAAGCAGGCGTTGAGAAGTGAGAGTCTAACGTCTAACGATACGACATATCTTAGGCAATGTTTTGATTATTGTCTTGTCCGAAGAAAACAAAAGTCGGCATCGGCTCACTCTTAGGCCGAAAGTACTCTTGAAAGTACTCATCCAGGAAATGGAAATGCATCATATCTTCAGTAATATCCGATAAATGAATAGCGTTATCAGTGGACTTAAGTAAGGACACAAGTTTTGTTTGAATGTATTTTTATTTTTGTGATATCAAGCCGTGTTGTCAGAGTGTTTAAGGTTTATTTCATCAACTAGAGTTTACAGTTTTACTGTTTCGTGTGGTAATTAAAGCTCTCGGAGCTCAACTGAATAGGGAAACTATTGTTTGTTGTGCAGATTAATTTTAGTTGCTGGATTATTATGCTAAATGGCCATTCTAACCTTACATTTACTGACAACAATATTTAGACTTCTCTCTGCCTATGATGTGACCACTTTAATTAATTAATGAAATATTCGCCAAATGTGTGTCGTTTAATTAATTACAATCGTACTGTTTTTTTCTGGAACTTCATACTGAACGCTTGGCTCCCATCTTGCTTGCATTTATATCTAAAGACATGTTGTGCGAAGAAATATTATTTTACTCTTACTCTACTGCGTTTCTTTTTTTTGTTCCATTATCAGAGTTCTGTGGCGTACTATATCTTGGAGCAACATTGGTGAAGATCTGACAAATATGTCACGGTTAGTGCTATTTTTATCAACTAATTAGCAAATAACATTATATGTCTGTTCGTTATTGTTAAGTAATTTTCTGTGCTCTATCTTTAGAACGGTAACCCCGAAGCAAATGCCTAAAATGGCAGCTTCCAAAGGGAAGCCAGCTACCAAGAAAGGCAGTGGTAAACCAAAGGATAAAAGCAAATGCAAATCTGGAAATGGTAGTGGTACTAGCAGCAGTACTACTTCTTCTAGTAGTGTAGGCAATGTGACTTCAGGATTAGATATACCTCTTAATCCAGAAGTACGAGAGGAACCAGCTCTTACCTTTCCACTAACCAAAACAGCTGACACAAGTCGGACACTGCCCCGTTATTATGTTGGTAAGGATCTATTTTTCTTTTTAAAACCATTCAAAATTTTGGAGGTTCCCCAGGTAACTTCTTTAGTGATAAATCAATTGTTGCTAACTGATGTATTATTTTAGTTTTGACACGCACTGAGGAAGAGGGAGTTATGATGGATGACTTGGACCAGCTTCAAATGGACCTAGAATCTCTTCTTTCTAAGGTTGCTGTCCGTCAACGTCTCCTTCACAGTGAGATTCTTGCATTGAACAACTCTGAGAGCAATATGGATAGGGGGAAAGCTGTAAGTGATGTAGCTCTGAAGGTGGAACACCAAAACGTTGATGTATCTGTTGTTTTTTTTTTTTTATTCTTCTTGTTTTTTGTTTGTTTTTTTATATATTTTTCTATAATTTTAGTCATCTCCTGGAAAAAAGGGAAGATCCAGAGGGAGCAAACTTGTCGAAAATCTTACCAAAACACGTGAAGTTGCCCGCTCTTCAAGCTCTAAACATTCTAAGAAACTTTATCGGCTGGCCCCATTGGCTGGGTCTGTACCTGTAAGTCAACTGACTTGATTAATGTCCTTAACTCACCATTGATTGCATTTGATTGTAATTGAGCGTTTATAATTTCAGGTGGTACCTCCAGATAATGATCCCAAGCCACCTGCTCCCAAGGTTTTTGTCAGCAAAAACAGTGCTCCTAATCGGTTTTGGGCTTCAGTTGATCCATACTGTTCAGAAGTTAATCAAGAGCATGTTAAGGTTATGATTTGTTTTACGTAGATGTTAAAATTTGTGTTTGTGGAAAGATAGAAATCAAATTACTCAAGTATCTCTACTGTTTGCAGGTATTGGAGGATTTGATCCATCATAATGAGTCAAGCTTACAGTCTCTTCTTGAAACACCAGGCCTTGGAGAACATTATAGTGTGAATTGGGCTCTCCAGGAACTCGCTGAGGCTCAAGAAGCTGCCAGCATGAATAAACAACGGCGTAAACACACCCCTCTTCCTAACTCTCAAGAAGCGTCCAGTCTTTTAAAGAGGAGTGCTCGTTTTGGGTATGAATTAAACTACTTTTATGAGAATTTGTTGTAATTAGCATGGTGTTCAAGCAAAATACACTTTTCTAGGTTTGAGAAACAAACAACCACTGCTGGACCTGGACCTTTTGCTAATAGACTCTTAGCTGCGCTCATTCAAGAGAATCCTGTATCACCTTTGCACGAGTCCTCAGAGTGTAATAAAGTTAAAGGTATTGCATAATGTAACTAATTTATAAATAGACTTTCCATCATGTGCTCGTACTTATGAAGACTCATACTATATAATGTATGTTTACAGTGAAGGTAGAAAATGATGATGATGAAACATCCAGTGCTAAGCGTATAAAGCTAGAACCTGGTGAGAAAACATTGAAAGACAGAGTTCGAACTGGAGGAACCACCAAAGCTGTGGGTGAGTGTAAGAAAATAAATTGAACCCAATAGGAGTTAGGTACACATTAATAACAGGACATTATCTTTATCTGTAATATATTCTACCTCCGTTTAGGTGGGGAAAATATTGTTCCATACAAGCCACACGTGATTGCTTGTTTTGAGAGAAGTCTCCGCCTCCAACTTGAAGCTCAAGGCCTTTTAGATGCCCCGGAAGTTAAGAAGGTTTGTTCTTTACTCTGCGCTTCTTGTGTTAAAACATTTCAACATTACCGTAAAATAATTATTGTACACTTTTAGGAAGAGGAAGAAGATGGCGTTCTTTCAGAGCTTCATAGATGCCAGGAAGAACTGCAAGTTTTATCTCAAGAAAATGAAAGGCAACTTAGAGCTATGATAAAGTTATTGCAAGATGAGATGGTGAGCCAAGACCTCCGCAGAAAACTAAAACATCAAGATAATGAGGTACCTAATGTTTGCTCCCTATTAAATTTCTTTTTATTCTTTTTCCTGCATTTTGTCTGTAAACAACTCACAATTATTATTTTTTTCAGATTTTGGAGAATTATCGTAAAATTGTAGCTGCTAAACAGAAAAGAAAACCTCTGTCAAAATTAGAACGCGATGCAGCCTGGAAAGCTGTCAGGGACAGGGAAATCATTGTAAAAAACTTAGATGCTTTAGAAAGGAAGTGGTGAAATCAAGGAGTAGCACCCTATTTTAAAGGTGCAACTCATGTTCTTTTAAATGTTCTACCATAAAATTGGTATTTCTCTTATAGTTTTTGTGTTACATGTGTCATCACAATAAGACTGTTTAGGAATATTTAATCCTCAATCAATTGAGTTCATTGTGTGAATCTTCATTAATGTGTTTGTTTAAAACCCTTAAAGTGACTTTTGTTTTGCATCAACATGTTGAATTTATTATAGTTTTACTTCTTTGGTCTTGATTACTAGTATGAGACAGAGCATCGCATAAACGGGAATTGAGGCCGCTCGCTGAGGCCGAGGCGCGGCCTGAGTGAGGACGACCCCGGCCGAGCCGCTGCCTCAGCAGTCGGCCTAAATTCCCATTTATGCGGTGCTCTGGTATCAGATCCTTGGTCATAATGATCGTAATGATAAACATAACCAATTTTTCCCCCCTTTTTTTATATCTATTAATAGGTTATTTTTTTAATTAGATTTCCTCTGCAAAGATCTTGAACTGTTTTGCCATTTTTGCTTTGTGGTAATGTGTCTCATATTATTATCTATAAATCGATTGTGTGTGTGTGTGTGTGCAATTTTCTGTTGTTTATTTTGCATAAATTTTCTGTTGTTTCTAAGCGTTTTTGCCTGTAAATATATATTTCACATTCATTTCCTTCAATAATTAATAAGAAAAATAATTTGCATCTTCCTAAATAGCTGTACTTTCATTGGAGAAAAGAACATTCCTATCAACTATAGTCGGCCCTCCTTCTATCTCTTGTTATCACTTATTAGCCGATAAAGAAAATTCAATCTGGACAAATGTGCGGAATTTTGCTGACATATTAACCGGGTCCCACTCGAGAATTATGAAATCAAACTATGTAATCATTTCAACCCTCACTGTGATACAGACTGAAGTTCAGGTTCAATTATCAGGTAAACTTTTAACTGAATGAGGATAATGGATAATGTTAACATGGCCTGCCACAAATCATGCCTAACATTAAGGCACTTCCTGAGATTTAAACCTGGGAACTAAACTGAGTATATGGCAGGGTGACTAGCACCCTTTCTTTAAACAAGGCCAACCCTTATTGTTAGGACCACCTACCAACCAGGCGCTCACTTTTACTTCCTTTTACGGCCCTACGGTTCGTCTGTGACCTCAAGTATTGTAAAAATACTCCTCAACACGAGCACTCCTTCTCCACCCAACCCCTTGGGGCGTAAGGTGGGTCAGGATTCTACCCTCGTATCTGAGGAAATGCTTAGATTTTCAAAATGGTTTCTTATAGTTCATTTGTTTTTCAAATTTTCAAACTAAAGTGGTTTGTCTTTGTCCCACATTCGTATCTTCGTATCATTCAATATGTGGCCACTGACTACTGACTCAGGCTCAAAACACACTATAGAGAGGCGTTACCCTAGCAACCTGCTCGTGGCGGCGGCCTGGGCAGCCTCGTCCCTCTCATGGTGGTGATGGTATTCAATGACTTGGTGCGCTTCCCCTCGCTTCCCTGTCGACTGAAAGAGCTGAAAGGACTGGCATTCCCTTCCAGGCGCTGCTCAACTGCCTACAACGACCAGAGGACCCGGGAGGGTTTGCCCAGGCACATGGCGACGCGGTGGGTGGGACTATCTCGACGCAGAAAGCATAGCATTTATTTTATGAAATAAAGCGAACTCCATGTATCTTGCCTGCTACAGGCCACAACAGCGGTCCTCTTCTGGGAGAACAAATGCCGCATGGTGCTCAAGGAGCTTGACGCCGCCCACGTCGTGTCGCAGGTCATGGTCAGGGACTACACTACCGCACACGCGCAGGCGCAGCACGCGCTGCGCGAAAAGGAGCGCGAGTCGGAAGAGTGGCAGCAGAAGCTGGCGCGCGCTCAGTCCAAGATTGAGAGCCTGGAGGTGAGCGGCCACCATCCGGTACCTGACTATTCTGGCCCTTCCTACCTTCCTGAGTCAACCCTGCTGTGCAGGCCGAGCGAGAGCGGTGGCTCGAGGACAAGGCACACGGGCGCAAGCAGCTCCATGAAAGCGAACAGCAGTGGAAGAGTGAAAAGGGGAACTTACAGAGGGAGGTCAGTTTCGTCGACCAGAGTCTTGTGAGGCGGGGGTCCACGAGAGGTCCTGACGACGCCCCCCACCCCAGGTGCAGCAGCAGAGCGAGCTGGTCGCGCGGCTGAGGTCGCAGGTGGTTGAGAGCGGGCAGGAGGCGCAGCGGTGGAAGTGGCGAGCCGAGGGCGCGGTGCGCCAACTGCAGACCACACAGGTCCGCGAAGCACGCGGGAGCGTGATACGTACCGACGTTTTGGGAAATTCTTCTTTCAGGGGTTTTCATTTGGTAACGGCGCCTCCCCTTAGAAAGTCCTGACATTTTTAGTAGTTGGCTTCACCGAGCGCCTGTGGACCGGAGGGTAGGCAATCGTGGGCTCGCGTGCACGCCGGGCGGGTCTACTCGCCAGGGGCTCTCACGACACCACCGTGTGCAGGAGCGGGCGCGGGCGGCCTTCACCAGGGCCGCGGCCCGCTACAGGGCTCTGCAGCAGCAGCAGCACCAGGAGCAGCAGCGCCCGCCCGCGGAGACGAGCGACCAGGGCGTGCAGGCGGAGCTCGCGCCGCGGTCCCTGTCGCGGGCCGTGCAGTGCGAGCCCGCGCGCCGCCACGCAGCCACGGAGACGCCGCGCCCTGCCCGGCTGCTCCACCGCGGCACCTGCACGGACGTGCTCGGCGCCGTCGTGCGCGTCGAGGTCGGCGTACAGGGTTCAGTGGGCGGGGCGGGCGACCCGGCGGCAGACCTCCTCCAGCAGTCGATGATCCCCGCTCCCGAGCCCCCGTCCCCGTCGCAAGAGGTGCCAACCGAGAACCTGCTGGACGTGAGCGTGGAGCGGCTCGACGAGCTGCTGATGCGGCCGCACCAAGATCACCAGGAACCATCGCAGCCTCGCGTGGAAGAGCTCGACCCGGCCGTGGGTGGTATGGAGGACCTGCAGGGCGTCCTGACGGCGGTGAGGGCGAGGCTCGTCTCCGCCCTGGAGTGCCACTTGGCACAGCGCTCCAGGCTGAGCTGCGTTGCCACGCAAACGGGTACGGCTTGCGCTATTTTCAGTCGCGGAGTGACATTTAATGGCCAGCGTCACAGTTTTGTAACGTTGCGCAGACACTCCAGTCAGAGGGTTCGACGACCACCTCGAGCGGACCCCTCTTCCTTCAACTGGAGACGAGGACGAGTGCATGCAAGTTGATGTCGAGGATGACGACCGCGAAGGCGCGCAGGAGGTGGTGCAACGGCGTTCGCAGGAGACGCAGGTCTGTCTCGTGAAAGTCCAACTTCAACACGATGACGAGCACAACCAACGGGTCGCACTGCAGCGGTCACAAGGGACTCAGGCGGACAACGGGCCTCAGAGAGACCCCATTGCGCATCACCTCCAGGTGAGCCCACTAAACAACGTCGTGAATGCAAAGCTCCTGAACTGAGTAGATGGTTTACGGAATCAGTTTTCAGTGCACCCTGGCCCTGGAGCGGCACGCTCTGGCCAGGCTCAGCCGATCGCTAACCGGGATGGCCCCAGGATCACTTCGCCGATGGTACGCCGACGTGCTTATTTACCGCTGAGCCCCAAGTCGACTAAGAGTCTTGACCCAGCCGCTGTCCTTTCTCGTGCAGTCCACTCAAGCGCCTCTTTCGGCCGCGGGCAGCGCCGGGCCAAGGAACCCGCCGAGGACCCCGCCGAGGCGCAGAGTCCTGGACACCACGGGACTGCAGTCCACTGAAGCGCCTCTTTCGGACGCGGCCAGCGCCGGGCAAAGGAACCCGACGACGACCCCGCCGAGGCGCAGAGTCCTGGACACCACGGGACTGCAGGCGGCTCCGCGGCTGGGTGCGGCGGCACATCTGGCGGACTCTGGAGGACCTCGCGAGCCCAGCGAGCACGGTGCCTTCCACCCCCACACAGCACCACGTCGCGAGGATCAGGAGGCACTGCGCCAGGGCCGCGCGGAGCAGGGCGGCGCTGCAGCTGCAGGTGGCGCAACTGTCCGCCCAGCTGCAGGAAGGCGAGGACGAGAGGCGGTGCGCGCGCGGCCACATCGAGTTCCTGCAGCGTCGCCTGCAGCAGCTCATCCACTGCAGCGCCGTGACCGCGAGGGACCTGGCCGCGCTGCGCTCGGTGCACGACAAGCTCACCGGGGAGCTGGCCGGGGCGAAGCAGCTGCCAGGGCTCTGTCGGGACCAGGACGATGACGGCCTCGCGGCCGAGAGCAAGGGTTCATCTGACGAGGGTGCGAAGACAGCCTCGAGCCGAGGAGGCGGTGACCGCAAGGACTCCATCGACCAGGGCGACGACCGTAAACGGTGAGGACACAGCAAAGGGATCATCGATCATCGAGAAAGTGCGTCCGCCATTTCCCGTTACGAAATTGGCCAGTTCAGCCAATGCAAGCTCTTAGAGCCTGATCAGTAGGCAACATCTTGCCTGCAGTGCACGCGTGCACTGCTGGGTGGCCGAACCTGATTTTCGCAGGCGTCAAGCTCCTGTAATTTGCCAAAGATTATGAGGATATCGGACATACCTTCTTCTGGACAATGCCAAAACTATTGAACTACCCGACGTTTACCGGTCCAAAACACATGGTGGTTGTAGGTTGGACGAGCAGCTCGACCACACGCCCAGCAAGCTCGTCGAGTGCGAGCCGCCGGCGCCGGAGGAGCGCGAGCTGGCGGAGCTGGACGCGCGGGTGTGCCAGGTGGTGCGCGGGCTGCGGGGGTGCAGCAGCGGCTGCAGCGGCCCCGGAGCTGAGTGCCTGATGCTGTTGCGCGTCGTGCCGCTGCTGGCGCGGCAGCTGCTACTCGAGCGCAGGCGCACGGCCTCCGCGGCCTCCCCCCGTGCCGCCCAACACCCCCTAGCGCCGCCCAACACCCCCCGCGAGGCGCTGTCGACGCCGTCCTCGCCGCCGCGGCTGCAGCGCGCCCTGTCGCGGGAGTGCGCCGCCCGGCTGCAGGCCCAGAGCCTGGCGCACCAGCACCACCTGCACGTCGTGCGCGCCGAGCACCACAAGCACGTGCAGTCGCTCAACGCGGCCCACCTGCAGACCGTCGGCAAGCTCATGGACCAGCACGTGGTGGCGCTGAGCCGCGCGCGCGAGCAGCTGCGGGCCGAGGTGCGCGCCGAGGTGCAGCGCGAGCTGCGCAGGGACATGCGCGCCGTGGTGGCGCGCTCCACCGCCGACCTGGAGGCCCTGCACCAGGCCGAGCTCAACAGCCTGCTCAGGAGCAGCTCAGACCCAGGTGCGCAGCCCACTCATCCAGCTCATCTAGTTTGCGCCACTTTCCGCTGAGTGTTTCTGTCTGGTCTGTCCTGGCAGGGCAGAGGGCACCTCAGTGGGCACCACAGTGCGAGGGCAGCGGAATGCCAGTAAGCGCGAGCGAAACCGGCCTCAGCGACAAAAACCCGCACCAACTAAAAGTATGTTTTGCATCAATCACTTTCACTCGCTTTCACTTGAAGCCTTCACCAGTTTCGATAATGGGTGATTCTGCCCCTCGCAGAAATGGTTGGAGATACACGAAGCAGAAGTAGTAAAGCAAGCTGCTAGTCTAGCACTGCATTCAATGGATGTCGGAGCAGCTGGGGATTATGTTATCGCTCATGCTACTGACTCAAATGCACCGCCAGGAGGAAACATTTCTACCCCCAACTTGTCATCAAATAGGATGTCTGCCTGGCATAGTTACATGGTTAACTAGGTATGAGTAACACTACTAGAAATTGTTCCATTTTTTAATTTTTATATGTTGAGAAAGTTGAACTACAGTTCTTCATAAACATGACTATTTACAGGAATTTTTAAAGAGGTAAAACTTTATAATTACAAAAAAACTATGATTTCTCTCTCTTTTTAAATATTCTTTCCCTTTTCCCCGAGCTACGGTGAATAATATCACTTACATGGGGTTTGTGATCAAATATTTTCATAACAGTGGCTTTTGCTTCACGTAACTGATCAGCAATTACTCGACTTCTCTGCATATTACCCTGAAAATTAGCCAAAAGTCATTAATTATTTAGAAGAACAAGAATGCAAAGAATACTAAATGAAAATGAAAATGCCTGCAGTACCTTTATGAGTTCACTAACTCTATTGACATCCTTGTCTTCATCTTGTTGTGCCTTTCTCTCCATCACACCTAGCATGGCTTCTAACTGTTGGCAAACTTGAGACTCCACATCAGCCTACAGTGCAAATAATACAATAGATAAATCCCTGATATATAGCATGAAATTGATATTATATAAATTAATTGTGATAAGTAACCCACCAGATCTTCCATCTGAGCAGTAAGGTGATGAACCTTCCAGCCATTGAGACGTTGATAAATATGTCGTTGAGAAGCTAACTCATTCACTGAGGGCCTTCTTTCATCTTTAGGCTTTACATCACTATGGCGTAGAAAGTGGTTATTCCTAGACTTCCAGGAATACCTATAGGTGCTAAGTAAAGAAATATTAGGTCGTTTCAAAGTAAATTCTCTCGGGGCTGGAGGGGGTGGTGGTAGAGCTGCCTGTTGTTGCTGAGATTGCTGCTGTTGCTGCAAAACTTGTTGATGAAGCTGCTGAGGTTCTTGTGGCTGCGGATTCAGCGGGAAATCGTCACCTAGAAAACATTGAAAATTATGAACATTCTGTTCCAATTAAAAGACGTTAACAATCAAAGCTGAAATAAATTAATTTACCATTGTCTTCAGCCATGAATTCCATTTCTTCGTCACTAGCTTTGTGTTCTTGTAATTCATTACCAGTTCTAAAAGAGTACAATAAGTTAATTCAAGTTTGATTTTATAATATGACACAAAAGATGATATGAGAATCAACGTACAATTGTTGTTTGCGAGGCTTCTTGCGAGGACTCATTTCTGTGCCATGCAAACCAGCAGCATGCAGCCCTGCTGTGATGCTTGCAGCTGAAGGCGGAGGCTGACTGGCACCAGGAGGTGGGGACTCTTGCCCAGGTGACGATGTAGCAGATATGGTGGTGGACCCACTAGATTGAGGTCCACCAGAGTCAGGCCGCTTGGGTGGCGATGGTGGGGATGGTGGGTGGACAGAGCTTGGAAGACTTGCAACAGGGATAGGGTTGACTGAACTCATGCTCTGAAGTAATGGCGTTAAATTTTTTGCTGCCTTCATAGGTGAACTGAAAGGAAAGAGACATTGGAACTAGGTGTCAAAGAAGTCTAAAAACTAAATTGAAGTAAAAAAAAGAAGGGAGACATACCCTTCATTATCACGCTTCCTTAAGATACTGGGCCGAGGAGAGGCGTTCAGCTTACTGGGAGTTGTTGAAGTTGGTCCTTGAGGGGTATGAGTCTGTGAAGATGGATGAAGAGAGGAGTTGGGTAATGGCAATGGTTGAGGTTGAGATGATGCATGAGATGAAGAGGAATGAGACAGTACCTGATGAGACAGGGCCAAAGACATGGACACTGAGGGCGTAGAGGATGGAGGGTGCACATGAGATGACTGATGGCTGGCGAGGGAAGTAGGATGCGAAGCATGAACCGAAACGTGGGAGGTGGTGACGGTTTGAGCGCCTGAATGCTGAATGGGGTTAGCCATCTGAGCCTGCGTCTGCGGGTGCATCTGGATGTGGACTGGGGTAGGCACCATCTGAATCTGCACCGGCAGGTGGCCAGTGGTGGACGACGTCACGGCTTGAGACACGACCGACGCGACCTGGGTGACAATCTGAGTCGGGGCGTGCGACTGCTGGGTCTCCGTGCTGGACTGGGAGGCTGCTGGGGCGTTGGAGGCGGCCTGGGTGGCCGCGCCCGACACCGGGACGGGGAGGGTCTGCACCGGCAGGAGGCTGCCATCGGCTGCGATGTACGTCGTCCCTGTAGCCCCACCTGCAACAAAGCAGGAGTACACGTGAAGAGTCGCTTAAACACTCACGCGCGCTGGAGATGGGGAGGCCGAATGACTACGCCGTTACCTTCGGCGGGGACGACGGCGTGGATGGGCAGGGCGGTGCGCGAGGGGTCCAGCACCATGATGGAGTTGAAGCGCGGCGGCTGGCCGGGCTGGCCCGCGGTCACCGTGCTCACCACGCTGCCCGTGATGGTGCTCACCGCGCTGCCGGACGCGCTGCTCACCACGCTCGTCACCACGCTCGTAGCCACCGGGACGCTGCTGGTGGTGCCCGCGCCCGAGGCCGTTGGGCCCGCGGTCGACGCGATAGCTAAGCGAAAGCGGCGAACGTACGGTCAAACATGACTTTCTAAACTTGGAGAATGAGAAGGACGGAGAGTGATGTTTGGAAATTTACCATGCAGTTGTTGAGGACCACCTGCGACAGGCCTGGCAGTTGTGGCTTGAACTATGTATGGAGGGCCACCTGCATAAGTACGTCCTTGAACGTTTGCCACCTGGAAGGACCCTGAAGGTGCCTCGTAGAAATAGGCAGCCGGTTGTATAGGGAAAGTACCGGTGCGTTCCCCTGCCGGCCCTGGCATGAGTAAATGATGAAGTAGATTCAATTAATCAAACTTTATCACAGGGCCTCTTGATTATTAGATTATATATTTGACAGCAGTACCTGGAGATGCTCTGTGAGGTGCTGTCTGAATGTAGACACTTGGCTGTCCAGGAGCAGGACGAACTTGTTGACCTGCCACTGCAACTGGGCGAGCAGCGACTGCAGGATAAAAAGTAGGTGAGTATGCAACGTTTTTAATAAATGCACATTATTGAAAATACTTGGTACTGGAACTGACCCGCTTTTGCAGTCGAGGTTGACGACGGGGCTGTAGAAATAGATGACACTGGAGCCAAAGAGGAAGCAGCCGTTACGCCCGGGGGCACGGATGCCACTACAGAGCGTAGGGGGCCTCCCCCGACCGCCGCCACGGTAACCACGGCGGACGCCATGACCTTCTGCTGGCCGGGAAGGGTGCGCACAGGAGCAGGCTGAAGCGATGGCAAGGTGGTGGGTTGTGAAGTCACCACGGACACCTGACCACTAGCTTGTCCTCCGGCCTGGGCTTGGCTGGAGGCTGCTGATGTTGGTGCCGGAGCTGGTTTCAGAGGAGCCACACCAAGCACAGGATGCAGGGAGACGACTCCGCGGCCACCCAAACGAACAGGAGCTGAGGAAAGTGGAGAAATCATTCGGTAAGATCCTGTCAGTGGCCAAATGCAGCGTACTGGCATGAATATACAAAGTCATAGAGGGTGGCCTATAGACACCTTCTTTTATTTTGCTTATACTGTACCGCATGCAGTCGTGCGGACGGGTTGCATACTCGCACGGGGCCAAAAGGCGCCGTGGTGAACGACGGTAGGCAAGCCCGCCAGCACGACTGCGTGCGATACAGTATAAGCAAAATAAAGGTGTCCATGCACCACCCTGAATAGGCAAGAAGCTGCACACATAGCAGTCAATTATGCAAGTACACATTGTGACAGCCATTTCATGTCTGCTTTGTGAAACCACAATCAGCCAAGGCAAAGCTAAAGAGCAGTTAACACCAAATGTGTGTAGTTAGCTTTAAGCTCATTTCATTCATGAGACGTCTTTTAAATGTGGTTTTACTCATCATATCAAAGCTTCTACGGTTATGCTAGGCATAACTCTCCACTTCCTTGGAGTGACAAATTAACTTAAGCAAAGGAAGTTGTCAGTATACACAATCAAATTCTACATTAAAACACTCCAAAGAATAGAGAAAACGTACTTGTATAAGTGACAGTTCGTCCCTGTGGCACCCGAGCCGATGGGCTGACAATCCTTGCACCTGAGGCAGGTAGTGCTGTTGCAACTGCAAGACGAGCTGTACCAGTCTGTACTCCTATCAACCCAGGAGAAGCAAGTCGAGCAGGAGCTGCTAAGACTACCGCTGGTGTATTTGTTGGGATGGTAGTTACTGTTCCAGCCTGTGTCCCCTTGGGATTAAATCAAAGTTTGTTTAAATTGATTCACATAAAAAAACAAGAAACAGTAGACACTTTGGCAAGGATAGATATAGACATGATTAATGTGTACACCCTACCTGAGAGATCGGTCGCGGCTTCCCGGCAACTGAGCTCACACTGGACAATGTAGGTTGTATACCAGCAGACGTAGAAGTTCCATGAGCTGTCTGAGTCACAACTTGCATGGGCGTCACACCTTGAGTCACAACCTGAATAGGTGTGCCCGGTTGAGCAACGGGTGGACAGGTTGCAAGTGTTACAGCCTGTGTGACGATTTGCACAGGCTGAGCAGATAGTGCAGGTGGAGCTGCAATCCTGCCTTGGCTGTGGGCAAAGAAAACAATTCATTACAAAAAGATGAAGAAGAAAATAAACAGCTTTGTGAGTACCAAGCCAAGTCATTTCATAGTTACCCAACAAGAGGAGTGGTGCGGGCTTGCACTTGAGCAAGAGGGACAGTGCTCTTCCCAAACGTTTTTTCCAGGCTAGTATTCTGAAAAGAAAGAACCAGAAATTGGTTTAATACAGGAATACTAGTTTGTTTTCTCATTTAAAAATGGTCTGCTCACTCTTACCAATGCTGGTCGGGGAGTATCTGAACGCTGGGGGGTAAGAGGGCGGGTACCTAATTAGATGTTAAATTGGATCATATTAATTGTTTGAACAAAACAGATTTTTATAAAGATTCAAAAAATGAATGAAAAATTCTGAGCAATACCTGAATGGGCTGGAGAGCTTGCTGGTCTAGTGCGAGGACCCTGCTGACCAGGTTGGTGGGGTGCTGGACTGGGAACTCGGCTGGATCCTCGAATACTCACAAGGCTGCAAGTTTAAAATTGAATTAAGAACCAAGTGAAGACAGATAACTACAAAAAAAAAAAAAAGAGAGTAGAAAACTAACCTTCCAGTAGGCCCTGCACGTACAGTTGCTAAAGAAGATGGTCTTGGCATGGCAATACTAGCGACTGCTGCAGCTCCTAAAATTAAAAAAAAAAAAAATGTGCAAAATATTGAGTACATTAAAAGTGAAACAAAACACAATGCAATTGTTAAGGTTTTTGTTCATCAAAGCAACAAGTTTCACAGTTTTACCTCTGGGAACATGATATGATGTTTGTTGACCAGGTCTGATGACATTTCCAGCTGTAATAGAAATTAAGCGGTGAGCATTCAAGACTTTAATAAGAAACACACAATTTGGACATATTAGGGAGAATTTTCGAGACCTTTACCTGGCTTGGTAGCAATTGTACCAACGGATTGAGATGTTGTGTTGGTGGGTCCTGCAGAACCAGCCGTGGTGCTAGGTGGACCACTCGACTGCATCGTCTATAAATCAAACATTGGTGCAAAGTCGTTAGCATTAAGGCAGTGGCCACAGCAAGTTACAGAACAAATTTAGGCAACATTCAATTAAATTTCAATGACATATTTGGAGTAAGGGGAAAAGAGGTTGCAGATATGAATGTAAGGCTACAATCCGTAACCATAAACTTATATTGCAAAGGCAGAGACAAAGTTAAGAAATTTGTATAAACAACTGAAATGCAAAACAATAGAGTACTTTTTAAATTAGGATGAAAAAATACAAACTAGCTTGGGGACAACATACAATAAATGCTACTAGGACTGTAAATGTACTATCATATGTTATCATAATCGCTCGGTAGATACAGACTTTAAGAATGTTGTGGACAAAGATAAAAATGGTAACTGATAAATGAAAGCAAAACAGCAAGACTTAAAATGAGTACGATCTGAGGTGTCATCAGGTTAAGGTTTTATTCTATTACTTTATACTGAAAAAAAGCAATCATTAGCGAATAAAATTAATAATCCTGAAGTTACTTACGAAATTTTCTTTATCTTAGGCGTATTTACTACATCCGTAATGTATACACTTTCTCGATAAGTTGATCAAAACGAAGCGTCCAAAAATTACACAGCTGACGACTTTTCACCGACGCCACTACACTACGCTCTGCCACGCCACTTTCAAAGAGGTGGAGTTGGAGGGGTAGAGGGGGGAGGGGAGGCAACCGGTTTTCAGAGTTACCAGCATGTTCGAAAAACTTCTCTTCACAAGAACTCTTTCGATCCCCCTTTTCAAGGTCAAACTTCGAATGAAAACTAACAATATTGTACGAATATTAATACGGTTACTTATTGTCTCACGAAGATCACCAATTAAGTTTTGTCAAGGTAAAGTCACATCGCATTGCCAGTGTTGATGTTGGCAGCATAAATAGAGCCTTTTAGAAGGAATGTATGTAACTTTCACGGTTCACGTTTGCGTTTGCTTGAAAATCCAAACAAGACAGCACAACAGCTTTCTGCTTATTTGTTTGTTATCAGCTGAGCTGATGTGAACATTCTTCTCAGCAAAAATGTGAAAATATATCGTGAATTCGTGACAAGGCTATTGGCTCTGTCACTGAGTTTAAGAAACCCAATTTTATTGTCTTGTCAACTGTTTGTAAGATGTCTTGCATATTTTAACAACAATAACTCATAGACTCGGGTTGACCCAAAATTACACATCTCTAACAATTTTTTACTTTCCCTTTGTCGGTCTAGATTTTAGCCAACTTTGTTAAAATTTCATGAAAATGAAATGTTTTCAAGAGCAAATGATGCTGCCAGTCTATCAGAGAGTAATAATAGTTCAGTGGACTGGGAATGTGACGCAGAGTCACGCAGTTGGTCTAGTTCAGCAAGCTGGTCAGATGATGTTGAAGGAGAAGCTACTGGACGTTTATGGCAACAACTGGACGACATTGATAGTGTCTTGTATGGCGAGGCCTCACCCAAAATTTTGCCTCTTACCCTGCGGCAAGAGGTGGCACAATGGCGAGCGACCTTCCCTCATCTCCGAATTTGTGGAACAAAACCACCTATGGGGCCACCACCTACCGAAAAAGAGGAGGGGCAAGAAGAAGTTTATGCCTCTCATGGGGAGTACTCAGAAGAGTGTGATGAAAGGTATAACTCTGACCAGAAGGAACTACAAGAACAATTAAAAAGTCAGGTGATGCAAAAATTATTCTTGAAAGTACAACCTGAGATAATTGCTGGTCTTCAAGCAAAATCTATTAAGGATAGTGTCCCGTCTGTCAGTTCTGTTCGAGAACCACTTTTAACTCATCGCCAGTCTGCACGCAAGGATAGTATTCGGAAACAGACAGCTACTCATGAATCTAATTTAGGAAGCATTTTAAGAGTATCACCATTGCCTAGGCGAGTCACTGTGTCTAGAGGTAATATTCAATCATCAAGATCCAGTGTTGTTTTACCACCTATTGAACCTATGAAAGGATCCTCGGCAGCTCCCCTGACAGTGCTTGGTCGTCAGACTCGTCTTGTTCAACCCAAGAGCAAGATCACTCGTTAGAAAAGTTCACAAGGATCGATAGCCATATTTTGCATTCTCTAAGATGGGATGCTGTGATCTAGTCTCCATTTAATATTGCTTTAAAATTTTTTCTAGATTTAATCCAATTGTGTGATGAGGTAAAAGCATTAAACATTTGTAAAATTCAAAATGATTTATTTAATTACATAGAAAGACCAAATGGGGAAGACTCAGCAAATGGAAATAAAAATGAAGCACTTGTTTTCAAGCATAATTGATGTAACAAAATTTAGAGCATATATCACGATTCTTACAGAGACCATCGCTCCGCCTATCCCTTAACATTTAATAACAGTCTTTAACTTTAGCTAAATAAAAAGACTCTTCATTTTACAATAAATAAGTAACAGGGCAGGCCTGCTGTGATGTCACGCCAGCGTGGCACTCATCTCCACGCTCATACATTTACATTATATACAACTTTCATTTACAAGGAATTGCTGAAAAATGCTCTTAGAGCTAATAGCATACACAACCATCTTGTTTGTACCACAAAAGATTTCAATAAATTTAGTTACTGTAGTGCATTTACGATATGTCACTGCACAAGTACAACCAAAATGATAAAGACTTTTCATATTTAAGCATTATGAGTATCAAAGTTACTTTCTTACAGTGATCATCTTGAAATGTACAAAATTCTAAAACCTAAGTAATTGGCTCACAATAGCACATTGCACTCAACACAAATACATACATTATGTACAGGGCACTAACACATTCACACACTGGGTTTTTAAAAAAGCCAGCTAATTAAGGCCAACTTATCATGATGCATACATGCGATTAATTTCATGCTGATATCTTTCTTGAATATCTTTACGTTTCAATTTAAAGGCAGCAGTTACTAATCCCATATCCGGTGACCAAACTTCAGTGCATAGCTTAACAGCAGCTGGCACCTCAAACTTCTCCAATTTACCTAAAAAAAAATAAAAAATGAAAGTATTAGATACAGTACAAATAACAGACAATCTAACAGAATAATACAGTAAGCTATGCTTACATTTTTTGGCATGTTCTCCCAACTCCCGAAGTACTGCCTTCTCCACATTGGGGTTGGAGCACAAATCCTCGAAGGTGGCACCAGTGAGGCCAAGAGTATTACCCAAATTAACAAGATGAGGGTGGTTGGGCACAACAAGAGCAACAGTGTAGTGCTTGGTAGGGTCTCCATAAACACAGATGTTCTCCACAAGCGGGCATGTCTTGAGTTGAGATTCAACCTTTCCTAAAGAAACATACTCTCCAAGCTGCAGTTTGACTAGATCCTTCTTGCGATCTGGAAAAATAGTAAGTCAGTAACAATGATGGACACAGCTGATAAGAGAATGGGAGAATGGGCAAACTTACCAATAATTTTGAAGACTCCATCAGGATGACATTCACCAATGTCACCAGTCTTGAACCATCTCTTGCCATCCTCCTCAAAGAAATCTTCTCTGGTTTTATCAGGCATCTTGTAATAACCTGGTGAAATGTTGTCACCACCAATGATTATTTCTCCTCTGGGGTAAGGCTTGTCAGTCACTCTGTAGTTTCCTTCATCCCAATCAACAAGTCTGATGTCTGTGACTGTGGTAGGGTTGCCAACTCGGCCAAGTGACCTATCACACACTGAAAGAAAACATTTTAGTACAAAAGCACAAAGTATTAAGGCAGGTAGGAAGGTACAATAAATGTAGACTTACTGTCCATCACAGTGGCACAGGAAGTAGTTTCAGTAAGTGCGTATCCTTGGAGGACAGTGGCACAAAGGCAGTTCTTGATTAGTTCATGGGTCTCTGGGGACAGCGGGGCACCACCACATAAAACATACTTGATGCGGCCACCAAGGATGGACCTGATGGGCTTGAACACAAGCCTAACAAAGAAAGAGATTAATCATTTCATTCTGAAGACTTAAATATTAATGTTTGCTCGTTTACCAACCTGTTAATTAGAGGTGTATTAAATCCTCTCCTAACCCACTTATTTTTGTATTGGCAAGCAAATTCAAAGAGAGCCTTGGAGAATCCACCCTTCTTTGATACTTTATCGTTAATACCTTTGTATATTCTGTCCAAAATTAATGGAACAGACGTCATCACAGTCGGGCAGAGAACAGACGCATCACCTTTAGTACCATGCTTGATTTTACTTGAGGAGTCAATCATGGTTAGTGGAGTAGAATAACCTGAAATATTGAATAAATGAGACTTGTGAAATGAAAACAACAGACGGGAGCGGTGAATGCACAATAGTACTTACCAATAGGAACACCATACAGTAGGCAAGCACTTTCAACAGCCTGCTCCAGAACGTGAGCAAGAGGAAGGAAGCCAAGGAACACATCCTCCTCATTGATATCAACACAATCAGAGAAGGCACGAAGGGTAGCCATCATATTTCGGTGAGTAAGAATAACTCCTTTGGGCACTCCCGTAGAACCACTGGTGTACATAATAATGGCTGTGTCATCTTGGGTAGGAGGGACAGCAACAACCTTACTGGCTGACTCTTCACCCATTTTGATAACTTCATCAAAGCTGACAATTTTGACACCTTCCTTGAAACCATTAGTATCAGTGTGCTTCAACTGATCTCGCATATAAATGATGGTGTTAACTTTAGGGCACATTGACAGAATCTTCTTGAACTTGGGCAACAAGTCATGACTAGTGATGAGCATGGTAACTTCTGTTTCATTAATACCATGAGCAATGGCCTCATCTCCCAAAGTGGAATAGATTGTGACAACTGAAAAGAAGATTTAAATATTAAAATTCAACCGATAAAGATAAAAAGTTCAACAATTTGTTCAAGACTTACTCGGAATGTTTTGCTTAAAACAACCATGAGCAGCTACCATCCATTCTTCACGAGTCTCAGCAAACAGAACAATACTGCTACGTGGTTCCTGACCCAAAATGCGGAGCCCACAACCAAAACCAGTAGATTCCTGATCGACTTGGGTATAACTCTTCCAGTGATAGTCTCCAAGAACATACTAAAACAAGGAAGTTAAGAGTTAAAACATAGAAGGGAAAATGAACTCGTTTGTATGCTGCAAGTGATGTTTACCTTCTTAAACAGCCTTCCATCTTTTTGTTTCTCATCTTCCTCTGCTATGATCTGTCTTGTGCCAAGGCAACGACGAGTGTGGTAACGTTTAGCCAAATACCGGACCAATAAATCCATAGTATTTATCTCTTCACGTAGCAAGGTAAGATGAATGTTGTGAGGAGGCAGGACACTTCTGTATGTGATGGATTTGCTCTCCTTTGAGACTGACACAGCCTGGAAAAAACAAAAAGCACCATTAAGCCACCGGATGATAACTAATTACAAGAGCAAGAGTTTTCTACATTTTATAGGTGATACGAATTATGGAAATACCCAGTATGCATTGACTCCATTTTTTCTTAGGAAAAAGTATTTTCCCCATGTGAACTTCCCCGACAGTTCTAGGACGTTCCTAATTCCTTATCCGCGCATATCGTAAGTGTAATCCAGCTCTAACAGGTGCTGCTGATGGCACGTGAAGCCTGCACTCGGGTGCTATCTCGGGTCCACCTGAGTAAGCCTTATCACTGCCAGCAACAGACAAATACTGATCCCAATTTAATGACTAGGGACAAAGTTTACTTTCCCCCATGCCATTCTAATTCTGATAAGGCTCGGGTGGACAGGCAAGCCGAGCACGCCATTGAGCTCGAGTGGAAGTGAAACGAGAGATTCAAAATGCACAAATACTTTGAGGACAAGTGGTTACAAAATTAAAGAGGAGTCAAATGTGCACTACAAGAAGCCTCTCACATCTCGGCCCAGTCCCTCCTTTCGAGCGAAGGACAAACCGGTTCCACTACCTCTACCAGGGGCCAAGCCCAGGCCCCCCGTCCGCTCTCCCCTGGCCCAGACTTCAAGCTCCAATGTTTTCCACCAAAACCCTCGAGGGGACTTAAGGCGGTCCCGGACTTTCATATCCGATATACGGATCTCGGATACAATACCCCAAATTCGAATGAATTGCTCACTTTGTTGCAGCCAAAGTAAGATTTTTTGGAGGACTGTACCCGAGACCGGAACCGGAAATCAGAAAGTCCGGAAGTTTCGTAACGCGCCTGGCGGCGGCGTGCGCGTACGGGGCGCCGCGCGGGTAGGCACCCCCGCCGCGCACCGGAGCCAGCGGGCTGCCCACCCGCGCCCAGTCCGGGGGTCCGGGGCCACGGCGGCCGCCTGCTTTGTTTACCTCCCAACGCCCGGCCGGGGCGGCCGGGGTCCAAGGTGACTGGGACCCCACCAGCAGCGCCGCCCGCAAGGACACGGCGCCAGGCCGTTGTGATACAGTCGATAATTTGACGGGAAAATCGCCTCATTCGGCAGCAGCGGCAGAACGGACGCCACTGCCCCCCCCCCGCCCCCCCCACACACACACACCACCGGCAGGACTCCCGCAGGAGCTGCAATTAGCAGGCAGAGGACGGCCGGACAACGACTGCACGCCCACCCGGCGGCAAGGTCAGGAAGCGCGGCAAAACGGGCTCAGCTGGTCAAATCGCAAACTTGGAGCGGGGAGGGAGAGGGGAGGCTGCCATACTAATGGTCAACAGGCCCGCGGCCGGCCGACCGCCTCGCGGCGGCACAGGACCTCGCGCCGACATGATCCAGGGACGGGTTCCAGCAGGTTCCGCCGGGTTCCAACGCCCCCGGCCCCCGGGCACTGTCCCTGCTGGAGGAGACCAATGTCCCCGTGCCTGCCGCGGGTGGGCGCAGGGGTGAGCCCCCCCCCCTCCCCACCATTCCAACCCTTTTCTGATCCCGCACGAAAAATAACCGCCTACCAGTGCGAAAGATAAGATTAAAGCGCGTTCAAACACGATAGCAAATAATCGGGAAATAAAAAAGTCGGGCCTCTTCCGCGTTGATGCGCACAACAGAGATGAACGCCGAGCGTCATCGCGAACATGATGCGGGGCCGCCCCGGAGGCGGTCACTGGTCATGAACGCCAGTGGGGGAAGGGGGCAGGTAGGGGAAGGGGGTGGGGTGGGGTGGGCCCGCCCAAAGGCGAGGCGCTCCGACCTTTACGCCTCGCTCGCCTGGCGCGTTGCGACACAAGCCGGGTTGACGCTTACACTTGATAGGAATGGATCATGAAAGTACAGCGATAAAAATGATAAAAAAACAACAAAAACTAGGCCGCGCCTCTCCCTACATGCGACTTCAGTTTCGGACTTTGTTTACCCCGCATGGCGTGTGTCACGCGGCAGCGCGTCAATCTCGCTGTTCTTCACGATGAAGGAAAAAACTCTTCATCGCGCTTTTTCTTCCAGGATGCAAAGTGCACGCGGCGTCGTCGCTCCGCGGCCAACAGAAAGCCCTCCCTCCCCTCCCCTCCCTTCCGCGGATCCGACAAGATCCGAGTCGCCGGGCCAGATTGGCAGCCGAGCTGCTCTTCAAGGAGAAAGGAGGCGCCCCGCCAGAGGCGCAGCAAAAGCAGAGCCGCGGGCGTGCCGCCGACCACTGGTACCACTGGTACCCGCCGGGCCGGTTCGGGCCGCGGCCACCTGCCTCCCCGCCCCGTCACCGCAACGACACGCCCGGTGCAAAGATGAACGCGAGAACGTCAGTCACGCCACCAACTGCCCCCCCCCCCTCCCCACCAAAGTTGGCTGTATTTATATTGCGTGGGTATTTGCTTCCATGAGCTCGGCAGACTGGGCGGGCCGCGAACAGAAGGGGAGGGGGTGAGCTAGCCCAGCGCCCGCGTAGGGGGTGGTGGCTGCTGGAGGATCCCGGGAGAGAGGGGAGGGGGAGAAATTGATTCCCAGGAAACTGAGCCCTGCCCTCTCCTCTCGGGCGTCCTCAGATTCCTCGACCGCGACGTGGACATGACGCACAAGCGCCCCACCACCCCCCTCGTTACAAGTAAACAATTGGCGCACGCGACACCAAACATTTATCATCGACAATTCTACTTCAAACAACGCAATCGGCGGGCGACATCGTATTCCCACGGCGAAAGGTCATTCCCTCACCCCCCACGGCCGTGTACCCAAGCCCCTCCCCCTACCACCCCAAAAAGAGAACACTTAACCCACGTCTTTGGAGGGCGGGGGGGTCGTATCTGTATGAGGGAGGATGGTGAGATTAAACAAAATTTAGAACCAAGATCAATGGGGCCCGGCCACCCAGCTCCTCTCCGGCCATACGGGCCGAGCACCCCACCAAACTGTATTGGTACAAGAACAGCTCAATCTCACGACAATTAAACCAACATCGAGCGCTGCTGCGTCGGCTCGGCCAACAGGGGGAGGGGGCTTATCACTCAAGGCTGGCCGCGGGGTCCCGTGTCACGTCCCCGCCGAGGAGCGAGCAAGAGCACCGCGGCCGGGGCTTTATCGCCCACTCCCGACTCCTCCCCCTGCCCCGCCCTCAAGGACCTACGTCACTCAACAGGTTGGGGGAGGGGGGCGCACCCCCTCGCTCACACCCCCTCCGGCGGGCCACCCTCTCCGGGAGACAGAAAGGGAGTGAGGGGCTGCTCCCTGGCCGCGTGCAAGATTCAGTGCACCCGACAGTCTCCCACTTTTTAAAGGTACTAAGGTCTTCAGACGCCCCGTCGCGCCGCACTCACCTTGGTCCTCTCCGACAGGCGCTTCTTCTCCCATGGCCGCTGCAGGATGAGGTAGAACGGGTACGTCACGATGTCGCAGAAGAAAGCCACGGCCTTGATGGCCCCGATGGCACCTCCGACCCACAAGCTGTCCGCCATGGCCTCTGCAAAGCACACCAAGACAAATTAGTCACACAAACACTAAGGCGGGGCCGGGGCCGGTCCCGCTGGGTTCCAGGGCCGGACAACAGCATACGGGCCCTGCAGGACGGGCCCGCCGGCCTGGGCGGCAGGCGCGGTAGGCGGCAGGACGAGAGGTCCCTTGCACAATTAGGGTCAGAGGCGTGGGCGGGAAGGCCGCGAGCGAGCCGCGCGTTTCATGCGGAAGCAGACCTGAGCTAGAGCAGGGGTGCAAACGGTGGTGTCCGGAGCAGCGCTGGCTCCACGCGAGTGGGGCTGGTAGCCAATGTCAGGGCCGGCGCGAACGGGCGGGCGGCGCGCGAAGCACTGGTGGAGGCAGGGCAGGGCGGCGCGGTGCACACTGGGGACCCCGGGGACCCCCGCCACAGCAGCAGCAGCAGCAGCAGCAGCAGCAGCAGGGAGGACTCGAGCGGAGCGCGGAGACGCGGCGCGAGCTACCTTCGGACCTTGGACGGAAACCGGCGTGGATCAACGTCCAAGCCATCCAATCCAAGCGCGGCCGCCACCAGCCGCCTGCCCATGGCCAGCGCGCGGCGGCCGGGAGGGGGGGGGGCAGCAATCACACGGGGCGCGCATGTCCAGCGACCCAATCGCGTGCTCCGCACTGCTCCGCCGCCGGTTCGAGTCCCCGTCCCGCCGCCACACTTTCTGACGCACGCGGCAGACGCGCCCGCCTCCACCCCATCATCACGGCCCGCCTTTAGGCCGCCGCCGCCGCCGATGCAAAGCGAGTTTTTCTTCCCCTCCTCTCCGGGGAACAACGGGCTGATTAATTCCACGACGCTCGCATCGCGAATGACAGTCGGAGCCGACACGTCAGACAAGAGGGAGGGGGAAAAGGGGGAAGAAAGGAAATGCAAGTTTCGCGCGTTCGCCTCGTCTGGCAGGACGGCTCTACCCTGCAGGACTGCGGCTCCTCCTCCCCGCTTCCTGTGCTAACAGGCACTTCCCTTTAGGAGGGGCCGACGAACGACGCACCGCCACGTCAACGCCCAGGAGCCCCTACGGCTGGCTAGCCCACGGCCCGTGGCCCGCGGTCGGGCCGGCGGGCTGCCCTGCCCCAGTCCTACTGGACCACTTCCACTCTCCAGGCTCGGGCTGGACTCCGGAAGCGGACTGACCTCGCTGGCCCGAGCACGGCATGCCGTCTACACGTGACCCGTACACGGAACGCGCGCCACAAGCCTCTCCAGCGGACACACTGCCAAGAGGAGACAAGTGCCGCACGGCGCGCAGCTCGTGGTGCACCCGCACTGACCAGAGAGGGTTTCTAAACACAGGCCTTTGCAAACGGCTGTTCGCTCACATCATGAAGAATCGGGTGTAAAAAGAGTAAAAGGATCCAGAACATTACAAACGACTTCACGAGGGACGGACCCGGTTTGAAATAGAAACCAGGGGCGCCCGCGAGCGTCCAGGAAACGGTCACACCTGCAGCCACTTTTCCGGACGCCTCTACCCTAGTTTCCCTGATTTCCCTGACGCGTGGCTACCCAGCAAATAAAGTTTCTGTAACACGAAGACTTTGTTTGAATTACGAAGGTTCCAATTCATTTGTAGGTTCGTAAGATATTGAGTGAAAATAGATCGGAAATTTAAATAAGGAAATGACCCGTCATCGCTAGGGTATGAAGTTTATGGGGGACCGGGGGGGGGGGGGGGGTCGCTATGTCCGCGTAACGTCATCTCGTACTCCTGCCCTACGTTAACCCCCCCCCCCTCCCCTCCCGTTTTTCACACTGAGCCGGCCGACACGCCACTACAGCGGCGCCGTTGCATAATCTTGCTATTCAGCCTCGATAATTCCAATTGAAGAGAGATTGACGGGAGGGGGACCCTGCTAAAGAGAAGCTCACCCGTTGATTCCAAAATGAACGGGTATGGAGCGTGGATAACCAAAGAACATTGCTAGTGACATCATATGTTATGAATGATTAATGACAGCCTTCTTGAAGAAAGGCAAAGATCTTTTTTCCCCCCCAAGATTGATTCAAGGGCTTCTTTTAATGAAGTCCAAGCCTCAACTTTGACCTAGAGTTACCAGCAGTAAGGTGGAGAGATTAAAACCAACTTGCCCAAAGGTCACTGATAAGGACTCACGAGTGTTAAGCACCTGCAACCATCAGTTATTAAAATGATAAAGCATGTGTATCAATACTAAAAGTGCAAATAACTAGTATACAATAGATGGAGCATGCATTAAAAACCAGTAGTACAATAGATTTTGAGCTAGACGGGTACGTCACTCATGAGCAATATTAATAAAATTTAGAAGCTAAAATCTGCGCAACCAGCATGCAACATTGCAACACAGTTGAAAGCAAATAACCATGACAATAACTGAATAGTCATACAATTACGTGATGAGCAATTGAATGAGTGGTCAATTCACTGAGTAGCAATCAGCGGATAGAAAGCAAAAACCATGTAGAATGCGAGTAACAGAAAATAGTACCTTCACCATTCCGCTCCATGATATGATTGGTGACCAAATAACCAGGACGAACACAGTTAGCAGAGGAACCAGCACAGACAGCTCCCACCACAACTGGTACCTATGAGATGACGTAAAATGGTAATGACTTATGCTGCACCTGCAAAGATCCATGCATGACAATGTCACATGGGGGTAAATAAACATAATTATGGAGTAGTCACATTATATGGAGGAAAGGTAATGCTCAGGTTTAGGGCATGCAAGGTTAACAAGTGCAAATCTCCAACATTAATTCATGTTCAAATGATAAAATGCCAGGCACTGCCACTGCAGGCTCGCAGGTCGGCTGGCTAGCACGAGGAGTCAAATGGGCGGTTGACAGGGCGAGTGAAGTTACTAACGCGGTCAAGAAACCTTCACCCCTTTACAAAGTGACCGAGTGCGGTACGCACAGGGGTTACACAGTCAACATTAATGTCTGGGCTGCATTCACAAACCAAAATTCACGAACACTGGTGCGGGATCGGCCCTTGTGGTCCACCGACCAGACTCTCGTCGCAAGTCGAGGTTTCTCCGCGAAAATGCAGGGGTTAAGCAGCTATGCCACACTACTGACACAGAGCTCAGGTACAGGACAGGACACTCTCTCACCTGCTGATTGCGTTGGGGATGCTGAAGTTGACTCAGCAACGCTCCGGCTCCCACTGCTCTTCTACGTGTTTCAATAAAAATAGAGCGTATTTGGAGCACGCACCTCCTCTCTCTCCGCTCACGAGCCGACCAATCAGAAGCTGCCGTCGGGGGGAGTGTGGTGGCGTGATCTGGGATCGATGGCGCTGCCTTCTCGCCCCATCAGAACAATCTTGTGTATCTTCGCGACTAGCTGTCGGCGCTACCAGCCGTGAAACAAAGTTGGAATCGGAAACAACTGGTTTGATAATATTAATTGACTAGAAAATCACAAAAAGCACCATTAAGACTTATACAAAAATGTTTTTTAAGAGAAACAAAAGGTACGTAGGTTTCTTTTAATGATATTTTTTCAGATGAGAGTGTTTTTAGGTTTTATAACCTGAAAGAAGCCGGGTGTGTCTTCACAGGATTATTTTTACCTTGTTTTTTGAGATTTCGTTGATTTGATGAATGAAATTTGAATTAAATTTACGTCAAAAGTCACAGGCTTACAACTCCATAAGCCAATTCATATCAAAACGTCGGTTGTTTCTTGAAACTTCTTACTTTTTCACGTACTGTGTCGTCTGCTACAAAGCTCCACCCAGAAAAACGGAGCTGTCAACTACTAATATTTTGCAAAAGCAAAATACGTCTAGAAAATTTGAGTTTCTTTTTTAAAAATTGCAGAAACCACATATTGATAATGTAATTACTCGTCAAAAGTACATATTAAGAGGTGAAACAATCTGTTATCTCTCTTATGCTACCTTAATACGTGTTGAACGGGTGGCTTCTTTCGCAACATTCCGCTTTTCCTTTGTCATCGAGAGGGACGCAGGGACGGGGAGGAGAAGGGGAGAGGGGTAAAGAAAATTCAAAATTGGTGTTGTTGTTTTTACTTTGGATGGATGCGACTTTCTGCTACTTTCTGCCTTAGCTGTGATCATTTCTGTGAAGACGATGGCATCAAACAATATTCCAGGATTTACACGATCAGACGAATATGAAACCCAATTGTATGGATTCAGCTCCCACGATCTGTTTCTCCACTGTAAGCTTGTAAATGTTATTCAAAACTTTGTTCTTTATTGTAGAAATTACTAATAATTCCTTTTCATACCATCTGCTACCTCAGTGAAAGACTTCCTGCTCCATGAAATGAAAACTTCTACTGAACTACTTAAAAACTTTCTGCTCGAGTTACAAAAGAGTGAAGATCATAAAGCAGCTGCGGAAAAGTCAATTGAAGCGTTTATCGCTAAATCTGAGGAAATGACAACAGTTGCTTTGGCAAACCTAGAAGTAAGTCTCTACTTGCCATCTTACACACTGTCAAGAGTCTTTCGCTAGTACTTTGTATTTTATCGCATGCTATGAATATCTGTTTCAGGAAAATGTGTCAAGTACTTTTAGTATACCACCCTATGTTCTCCTACCATCTGATAATGTTCAGAGGAAAAGTTATACTCAAGAAGATGAGTTGAAGGAGAAGGAAAAGGTTTCAAAGCTGAAATCAAGATACAGACGGGTACTGAATGCTATCACATATATTCACATTTCACTTATTTTTAAAGTAGAACAGTTTAGATGCTATATTTTCAATTTTATATTTTACAGGCAGAATTTCTGAAGCAGGTTTTACAGGAAGAGCTTGCCATGGCAAGTGAACTAGAAGGTAGTATAGAAATGGGAAGGAAAGTTATGTCTGAAATAAAAGAACTTAAAGATAGTTCTGAGAACTATGAACAGGATTCCAAAAATTTCCACAAGATTGTTCAGGATTTACTCGGTGTTGAAGTTAAAGAGGCAAGTTTGAAGCTTTCGAATGGTCCATCCTGGGCTGAAAGTGAGGACATAATGGATGAACATATATTTAATGAATATTTTAGTGGTCAATGAGCTTCTTTTAATCATTAATGTAAGTAATGCTTTTATCATAATGTGAATTTTTTAAACAATCCATCCTGGGCTGAAAGTGGAGACGTCGAACGAAACTATTATATTTTAATGAACAAGTGAGATCCTTTCAATAAATGAGACACTTTAAAATTAATATGGAGTTCATTTTAATCCATTGATTCAACAAAACAAAGTTGGAAAATAAATTACAGGTGAGGCAAGTACTTATTACATGATATTGAGTACATAGCAATAAGGAATGGGGTAAAGTAAACACAATTCAAATTATTCAGAAAACTTGGCAAAGTCAAAAATTATTTACAAAACTTAAAAAACATCTACAGAAATTGCCTACAATCTTAAATAATGATAATGAGATAATTAATTGTCGATATCACTATCAGCATCTTCAAACTGAGCTGAATCAACTTCCATAGCTTCATCTGCTGCTTGACCATTGCCATTGCTTCCTGGCTCAAAGTCTTGAGCCTCTGAAAAATAGTACCACCAGGATTGAGCCACTGTTCAGTTGCTTTGAGAAAAATAATGAGAAGGGCAGCAAGATATTCCCATCAACCAGGAACTTACCGTCATATTCAGCATCATCTTGACCATCATCTTCACCCTCCGCCTCCTCACCATCAGCATCAACAAAAATATTCTCTGGATCTGAATCAGATTGCTGATCAGGATCTGGATGTAGTGCTTGACACTGACTCATAGCTTGATACATAGCTTCTAAAGCTGCTGTATCATCAGGTAAAAATTTTAAGATTGTGTTTTGGCCATCCTCTGGGTCTTCATCACTATCTTCTTCATCTCCACTTTCTTTCTCATTATTGTAACCTGGAACTACCATTCAGACCTCAGGTGATTTATGTATGATATGTTAATAAAAACCAATTATTAAAAATAGGAAAAGTATCGCAGTTAATATACCTTCGATTGGAAGATGATTGGTATCTAACATCATGTAAAGGCATTCTACTGGTGTTCTGGAAACCGCATGGAGACTAATACCGGGATACTCCAACGTGAAGCCCTCACGGGAAGATGTGTTCACCCAAGAAACACGACTGAAACAAGAAAACATTTGAATCACACACCATGCGGCACAATGACAATACTCAGATACAAGAGCCAAATACTTTTTCTTCCCTAGATAAGCAGCCAAACACAACTGTAACTGCAAAACACCTCAAAGACACCAGAATTAACCAAACCTTTCTGAGATGTAAAGTGTTCCTTTTCCAACATTCCTGTCATTCATCAGGACGGCCGTGTTATCTTGCTGATGTCGAATCACTTCTTCAGCGTTCGGTACATAATTTGTGATAATGACCATGGTGCTGGAGATGCCTCTAACCTCACCGAATGTTAGGCCAGGTCAGGTAGTGGCTGACAATGAATGGAAATAGGGCCAGTCACGAGGACAAAGATGCACCTACAGCTAAATCAGGATAAATTGAGTGTCAATGCTCGTAAAGGTCGTAACACAAACAATCTTGTCTCTGTTGTCAAAAAGCACAAAGCACGCAGCTATCAGACAGAAATGGCGCTTCGAGCTTCAAGCTCTTCGCTGCTACCAACAACAATTTTTTAAGAAATTAAAAAAAATGGGGGGAGTTCTCGTTCAACATAAGGAAGAGTCCGTTCAAACTAGAGATGTATTATTTCGATTCATCAAGATTCTAACATATTCAGAAAGGTGTGATAAATGAAATCCTAAGGGAATTTAAGTTTTGATGGTTATCTGAAAATAATGACATGACGTCACCTTACCGGCTTTGTTTTTGTTGTTTTGTTTTTCTCTGATCAACTGTTGACAGTTGGGACAATGCACAGTTTGTAGTGTTTGTGATTTATACAGTATGTGATCACTGAATATATTTGTTAGAGTGTCTGTTTGATCATATGGCATTAAGCGATCATGTACAAAGATTGATAAAAGGCAACCTATGAATCGATTGTGAGTGTGTCATACTTGGTAAGTTAGTGTTAATTTCTCGGAATATAAAGTTCACCTTCTTGTTAACATGAGCTGTTTATCTGTTCATTATTGGGTACCTATCCATATGCCCTGTCAAGTATCGTACATTATCAAATTATATGACTCTTCAGTGCCCCAGAATTACCTGGCGTATCTCCTAAGTGTAACCAAATAATGCCTTCTGTTTGATTTCAGGTTGCTGAATGTCGACCTTGTTACATAAAAGACAATGCAATTTAAGCATAAAAGCTCCAAAAAAAACTCTAATTGCATTAATTTGACTGATTTCAATGTCTTAATTGAAATAATTTTGTGATTTCCACTTAATTAATTTTAACTGACTGGTTTTAAAATGATTCACTGTGCCATTCGAAGTTTACGAGTTCCATATGGATTTACACTTTGCAACAGATTTTTATCTCCAGTACTTCCACAAACAAGATTACTCTCAGACACAGTACATAAGAGTAAATTACTTCAACTGTACTCTACTACCAGGCAGCTGCGCAAGCCATTAGTGTCGCCTAAATGGTCCACCACTTCAAGAATTACTGCTACCTCTTCACTGCAATTAGCACACTGCAGACTTTTCCACACCTCGCAACCTAGAAAGGCTATTCCTCCTTTGGTTTGGCTGATTCTCAGACCTTTTGCCAATTTGGCTGCAGTGCTTTTTGGGCGCATATTCAGGAAAGCCTGGAAAAAACTTCCTCAGGAGAAGAGAGATAAAATAATCCTCAGACTGAAAAGGAATAGAAGTAAAGTATTAGGTATGACTTATCCAAAGTACATGTATACGTTTTTGGTGTAAAACAGTATGACAGTAGCTTTTCTTGATTTGTTATCGTGACCAGGTGCTGCTGGAGCTCTCACCTTTGGTATATTTCTATATGTTCTTGCACATTTAGAAGAGGCACCATACTCAAAGCGTAAAAGATTTATATTATTTTCGCGGCAAGATATGCGTAATCTTTGTGAGCAAGCTGAACAAGAAGTTAGTTTGTATTCTAGAGCTGACGACCTCAGTGGTAGCAGTATATAGTAGTATATAGGAATGTTTTATGATTAAAACTAAACAATTGTTTGACTTTTCAGATTTTATCTACTTCAGCATCCAAGGTTCTTCCTCATAGACACCCTCTTTCTAAGACTATTGTCCGAGTAATGGCTCAAATAATGGAATCTAATCATCAAGCAATAATTGATAGTGGAGTGACTTCATGGAATATTTATGTACTAGATGAACCAGAAATCAGTAATGCTATGGTTCTTCCAGTCAGTATCTGCTATTTTCAGCCTTTATATACAAAAAGTTATCTGCCAATTGCAAACTGAATATTTCTTTTACAGAATGGTACAGTCTTCGTTTTCTCAGGGATTGCTGATACGTGTTCTAGTGATGATCAACTGGGAGCAATTCTGGCCCATGAAGTTGCCCATGTTTTACTGAATCATCAGGTAAACAATGTGTATTGTGTATTTTCAAATCTGATCCTTTTCCAAGTTTTTAATCGAATTATTATTTTGCAGGCAGAAACACTGAGCAAAGAACACCTAAGTAGTTTTATCTTCCTATTCATCATCACTGCCATTTGGGCTGTTCTTCCTGATTTTGCTGCTTTTTTGTCTCACATATTTGCTTCCCAGACCTCACAAATTTTTATAAGTTTACCTTTTAGTAGACTTATGGAGTCTGAAGCTGATGCAGTTGGATTAAATCTAGCTGCAAAGGTAACATCTATTTACAACTTTACAGTTGCACTTTTTCTTTCTTTTGTTGTTATTATTATTATTATTAATTTTTTATTTTGTTTATCTATCTATAGGCTTGTTTGGATGTTCGTGAAGCTAGTGTTTTTTGGGCTAAAATGGCTTTGCGGGAGGAACTTGGTTGTGAAGAGGCACCGATGGAGATACTGTCTTCCCATCCATCCCATGAGAGTAGACAAAAAGCAATAGATGAACTTATCCCAGATGCCTTGAAGTTGAGGGAATCATGCAAGGTAAGTGAAAGAAAAGCAGCAATAAGCTATATTAACACTCCTTTATCATGAATAATTTTCTCATCTCTTTTTGTAACTAGTGCAAAAAACTTTCTCCGGCCGATCCTCGAATGAAGTTTGGCCTGCACAAGTTGCGTCTAAAGGAAGCTGAGAGCAAAGGCTGTTTGTCTTGTAAATCAATATTTTCCCACTACGATATATAATATTTTGTTTATGAAGAGACCAAAGTTTGTTCATAGGACTTAAAATGTTATTTTTACACCATTCGATAGATGATTTATATCTGTTATTTATTCAATATTGTTGTTAATAGATCCCTGCTCCAACATTAAGACCTGCTGACATTTTATTTTTGTTTTTAAATAGAACATCCAACTGCCTTTTTACCAGAATTCTTAATTGAGAGATCTGTGTCAGCACCGCTCCACTCGTTGGTGCTGGTGACCTCCGCGGTAATATACATTACTCCACCGACTAGACGTCGATTCTCTCTACTATGGCGTGTTCCTCAGCGCGTGGCTGGCCGCGCCGAATCGATTCTAGGACGACTGACGGTACGTCAAACAAGAAGAAAAAAACGAGAGGGGGGGTAGGGGGCGTGGCGAACATAGGCAGGTGCAGATGGAGCAGAAATTTCACGTGACATGGAATTCCTCGCCTCCGCTCCAGAACAGGGGGGGGCTAATTTAACAGACTGTCAAGGAGATGGCAGACTGTATCACTGGTGTAAATCCCATCAAGATTTTTACCATTAGGAAAATTACCATCAGCCTCAGAAAATTACGATCAGACTCGTGACGATCAGGTATTCAT